GGAACCAACTTGCACCTGATTCCTATTTTAGAGAACCAACTTTCAAAATCATTATTTTGGGAAACCAACTTACACCTGATTCCTATTTTGAGAAACCAACTTGCAAAATAATTATAGAAAAATAACTAAAATTCTTTTTTTTTTCAAAAAATTAATGCTATAAAATCTATTTTTCATTTCAAATCTCGTTTTTTTAATTCAGATATCAAATTGAACATTTAAAAAAAAATTCCAAATTACCACAATAAAAATTGTTTTTTACTAATACAAAAAAAATCAACTTAATAGAAAAAATTAATTGATACGGATTAGTAAGATATAAAATTCTTGAATGTGATATTTAATATTTATTTTTTATTGCATCAATTAATTTTTTTCTATTAAATTGATTTATAAGAATCAGGTGCAAGTTGGTTCCCAAAATGACGATTTTGAAAGTTGGTTCCCAAAATAGGAATCAGGTGCAATTTGGTTCTCCAAAATGACGATTTTGAAAGTTGGTTCCCCAAAAAAGAAATTAGGTGAAAGTTGATTCTATTTTGGTGCAATTTTCCCTTAAAAAAGACAAAGAAACTACAAATTTTTGCTGAAGTTGTCCCACATTGGAATAGAGATGGTAAAAAAAGAATGAAGAGGTGTTATAAAAAGAGAGGGAGGTTAATCAAGTTTCTAACTTTGTTTTTTTGATGATGAAGTTTAAGGTGCATCTCTTTAATCATTTAAAATTTAAGAGAACACATTTAAGTTTTATATCCCTAAAATTTCATAAATTTTGACGGGTGAGCTTGATTCGAGTTCGAGTTGGAGCTTCATCCGAATAGGAGTTCTAGCTCGAGTTTAAAAAAGTGCAATCAAGTTTAAGTCGAGTCTAGTTTTAACTACTTGCAAGTTTTTGAGTCGAGTTCGAACTTGAGAAATGGCTATCGAGTTTGAGTCAAGTATATTGATACTCAAGCTCGACTCGCATCATTTACACCCCTAGTGAAACTTACTTAAGTCATGCTGATTAAAAATTTGTTGGTTTTTTTCAACTTTACAAATAAATTTGATTCTTACCAAATCGTTAACCAATATATCTTCAATTTCCTTCTTAATCCACAATCGAGAGTGTCTTCCAGGCTCATTAAGGTTCAAACGACGAACAATGTATCTCCTCATTTCTTCTATATGGTCATGCATCATCAAGTACCCATATTTATAAATAGTTACGAGAGATCTGTTCTGAAGAACAGTCAAACCATGTATAGCATGAAATCCACGGCTTTCAAGCGCTATGATTGCTTTTTCTTCCTTCCAACCTTTCAATATGCATGCAACATCTAGGAATATTTCCTTGCAATCGATATCTAGACCCATATAGCTGAATTCCAGCTTTCGTAGAGTTTCATCCAATGGAATTTTTTCAAGTCTTGCAAAGGTATCTATCCATACACGCTCATTTGCATTACAGAGAAACGCACCCAAAACTGTGATTGTCAAGGGGAGACCAGCAGCATAACTTACAATGTCTCTTGATAGCTTTTCGTACCCAGGATTTGGACTCTCTTTCCCAAATGCACACCTACTCAAGAGGCAAATTGCTTCGTCATATGTTAATAGATTGACATCGTGAATATTGGAGTTCGCTACTTTGTGTGCTACCAATACTTGCTTGGGTAATATGGTCATTTTAATAGTTTTGTCTCATCCTGTCCTAATCGCAACAAACATAGGACAGACAATTAGTCTTGTCCCATGTCCCATCTAATCTGCGTACCAAAAACTACCTAATTGAACCGAGGTTACATGTTATTCAAGAAAACTTGTCAATAAAACACAGGTATAACACCAAATGTGTGTTGCGGACCCCCTTCCATCGGTTAGTGGTTGTATCTATGCATTTTCACATCAACAAAACAAATCCTACACCGTCATCCATGGCCGACTTCAGTTGAATTGAATCATTCAAGCAAATCAACGGCAACAGGGAACTGGAAACAAGATGGTAGAGGAAGAGGAGGAGAGATGGAATCGGAAGAAACAAACATTAATCGATGAAATCTCCGATAAGATGATCAACGGAGACCTCCTCACCAAGATTCAAGCTGCCAGAGAAATCAGAAGCATGATCCGTAATCGTAATTCCTCCGTCAAGCTGCGTGTCAAGTTCGCCGCCGCCGGCGTTATTCAGCCGCTTGTTCTCCTGCTTTGCTCCGGTCACCACGACGCCCGCGAAGCTTCTCTTCTAGCACTCCTCAATCTCGCCTCCAGAAACTACCGGTTGGTATTTGATTCTTACATTTTTCTGTGAACTTTTGTGTTGATATAAAACGGATTCTTTATGTTAGGGTTTTAGAGAAAACTCAATTGAATGATTATGGAAATGGTTAAGATAGGGTTTGTGAATTTTGGAGTTTAAATGCTGAATTGAAGATGCCAAATCGTTCTTATTACTGTTTAGATCATAGAATTGGGATATGAATCAGAATTCTCTGGTTTTAGAGATTGTAATAAGAATATTAATAAATAGGGAGAAAATATGATAATTGAAAATCTGGATTCAATCTTGATGCTAATTGAAGAAGTTTTCATGAAGCATGATGTACGTAGCGAAGAACACCCCATGATTCTAGGAGAGCCCTGGTTTATCACTTAGGGTTTGTATGTTTTTTACTTGATGGCTGAATGGTCTGAATGGCTTATTCGTTAAGGGGCAAATCCCGGACCTGAAGTACCAACATGGATTAAAGAGCCAAAAACCATGTGAAATTCAAGATTTATAGCTTCAATATTCCCCTCATACATTTATGTTGCTTTGTACCAAGGATTAGTTGTATGCTTTTGAGCTAGCTGTTGGTTGAAAAACTAGTTGATATAACAGTCATGTAGGGTAAAAACTAGTCGATAACCTAGATGACAATTTAAAATGACCTAAAAGGACATGTTGAATTGGAAAAAAATGGAAAGAATCCCTTACGGCTTAGTGAAACGCTACTTGGAATAACGTTTCAAAAAACTAGCTTATCGGCTAGTATATGACTAACCAAAGAGGGCTTTTCCAATAAGCTCGAAATATAAGCTAGCTTATAATCGCCAAACATGGCCAAGTTTATTTGAGACCTATTTGATCGAGGCTAGAATCATCTAACAAGTTGATTCCGTGTTAAATTTCAGAAACAAGGAACAAATTGTGACGTGTGGTGCCATTCCTCCTCTCGTGAAGCTTCTCAGGTTCCAAAACACCGATGACCTGAGAGAATTAGCCACCGCTGCAATTTTGACGTTATCAGCGGCACCACCCAATAAACCGCCAATAGCCGCCTCAGGAGCTATCCCACTTCTGGTTCAAATTCTCAATTGTGGCAGTGTTCAAGGAAGGGTCGACGCAGTCACTGCCCTTCACAACCTCTCAACCTCGAAAGAACCACCAACGATCGTTCTTGATGCTAAAGCCGTCCCTCCTCTCATCAACCTCCTCAAAGAATGCAAGAAATACTCCAAATTTGCTGACAAAACCACAGCCTTGATCGAAATCACCACCAAATCTCAAGAAGGACGAACGGCGATCACGAATGCCGAAGATGGGATACTAACGTTAGTAGAAACGATCGAAGATGGATCGCCAGTTAGCACAGAACACGCAGTCGGTGCTCTGCTTGCATTGTGCCTGAGCTCGAGAAGTAAATATCGGGAACTGATTCTGAAAGAAGGTGCGATCCCTGGGCTGCTACGGTTAACCGTCGATGGAACCCATGAAGCTCAGTTTAAGGCTAGGACACTGCTGGACTTGCTTCGTGAGTCTTCGCTGGAAAAGAGACCGAGTTCGTCGGTTTTGGAGAAAATGGTTTGTGAAATAGCGGCACGAGTTGACGGGTCGGAAAAAACCGAATTGCGGGATATGATTGAAAGAAACAAAAAGGGTTCATGTGAAGTAATGTTGTAGGAGCCCTAAAAATGAGGTGATTTTAACCAACCTTAACAGGGATTGTAAATTGAAACCAAAATATTGTAATTGGAATTTGATTTAAATGCAAATGTCCCACCCATCTTCACTTTTGACTTTGTAAAGCAAGCAGTCGTGACTCTGACTCGTGAGAAAGAGAAGCTCCGTTCACCACACGTGGGCCACTTAACGGTTGGGATTAACAATCATTAGATTCAGTGACCAAATCCATAAGAAATTACGAACAATAAGGATGGATTTGTAAATTTTTTTAACTGTAAGGGCAGAAACCAACATTTTGAACAAACTATAGGGACTAAAATTATAATTTACTCAAAATTGAAGGTAAAAACATGTAGGAATGGCAATGGGCCGGTTATTGGAATTCCCGTTCCCGAAACCGATAGCTAAAACCGATTCCGTAACCGCCCCGATCCCCGTCGGGGATCTTATCAGGGATCCCCGCGGTTTACTTGATCCATGTTGGTTTATACGCGGTATATAATTTTACCTACTAATTATAATTTGTTGGTATATGATATGGAAAAAAAAACATGGTGTCATACCATCTTCACCTCTCAATATTGCTTTTGAGCCTAAATCCATGGATGAACTTGGGGGAGGACCTATGAAAAACCTCGTGCATCCGCTCATCTGATTTTAACAAAAGAATTGTTCTTTGGTATATTAAAATGCACACAGTAAACTTTTTAAGGGGTACCCGTGATATTAGAAAATATAAAGGATATCAACCAAAAAATCGGAAAATCCATCAAAATCAACCTGACGACTTAAAAAACCTTCGAAATCAGCCAAAAAACTGAAAGCAACCAAACGGTAGAATTCGGCTAAAAACACATCCGACTTACGCCTAAAACGTAGTCTTATGTCTTGGTTAAAAGGTCGATTCCATCTGCTAAAAATAATGAATTTCTCAATTAGATACAAATGAATTTTCTTGTGTCAAACCATATTGAGTTTGACGTATGATTAAACTACAACTTTATAGATTTTTGATCCACTTTAAAAGTGTACCCGTAATACAAAAAATTCAATTTTACATCTTGAACTATAACTATACATCTAATCATATATAATTACCAATTAGTTGGATTTGAGATTTAATATTCATTTATTACCTACTTTTTAAAGATAATTAGAAGAGTAAACTATGTGTTTGGTCCCTGTAGTTTGGTGATTTTATGAAAATGGTCCTTGCACTTCATTTATTATATATTAGGACTCATGGTATATCATTTTGTAACGAATTGGTCCCTCCTTCTAACGACTATCTAGTTCCTCCATTAACCTTGAAGGCATTTTCGTCCTTTTTCTTTTCTCGTCTTTACTCAAGGGATAAATTTCGTAAAATCTACACAAACCACGGGACCAAGTCCGCAATTTAAGTCTAAAAGAGTTATACTCTGAATTTATTAAATTAATTAACTATTATACTTTAATATATATATATATATATACACATATATATATATACACATATATATATACATATATATATATGGGTGGGTTCAAATAAAAACCACTCAATTTGTAAAAACCGTGAAAACCTCATTCAACCAATCATAATTTTTCATTTTGTTCATTTTTTGTAATTATGAGAGGTTGATTAACCATTTTTATTGTGGAG